CATCGGTCAGTTCAGAATAGTTCATTCGATCTGGGGACTTCTGGGGAACTAGAGTTCCCCTTCCCGATCTAAATCAATTTAATTGAGGTCCGAGTGGTGGCCCTTGGCCTGGCTTAATTTGTTGATTGTCTGCCGAGTTTGTGTTCTGTTTTTCTGTGGCCCGTCGAAACCATTAGCAGTGTGTATCAGTGTGAAATCTGAGGCGGAATGAGTGGGGGTTCCATCATCCAGATCTTCAGAGAAGTCAGGGCTGGGAAGCAATTAGCTAGGGCTAGAAATCAAAATCAGTAGGAATGACAAGATGTTGAAACAGGAAGAAATCAGAACTTGGAAACGTCTTTATTTTGAATTAATTTATTCCAAAGAAACTCCTGAAGAAGTCAAATTCATTTATTTTGAAAAAGATCTGGAACTAATCCTGACAGTTCTAGGAAAATTGAATCAGCTGTGTATTTTGCAAATGATTCCTATTACCGAGTCTATACAAAATATTAATTTAAATTGAATTTTAATTTTTATTGATTATTTTACAGTTTTAGTATTAGTTATAATAATGGGATCATCTCGATAAGGCTCTTCCCCGTTACTTTTCCTCGAATTACCCCTTTATAGGGTCACTTCCTTTTAGACTTTTTCATACCCCCAAGACATCTGCATTCGCAATTGAAAGGGCAATTCCGCTGTTCAAGTGCAAGATTGAAAAGTTCAGATGCCAACTGATCATGCATGTCTTTTCCATAGTATCTCGGCATCTTCGGCACAGATGTACGCATCAACATCCACATCCAGAAAAGAACAAGAGTTAACCCCAACCCGGAATGAACTCACTTCCGTTGGGTCCATGTGGGGGATTTCTTCAGGCAAGTAGTGTTAACTGGACGGGTCGAGTGCTCAAGTGCAATTCGTAATTACTCATTCATAATTTCAGCTTAATTGTGAGCGTATTCCGCGTACATCGTACTAGGCCCATTCATACATTTATTTATTTATTGGTTCCTCCCGAAGGGGAAAGAGAACTGGCGGCGTAAATTAACTTAATTGAAATTCGGGTCAACAGAGAGGCCAAGATAATGAAAGAAACTAATTAAGGCGCACTACCGAACTGCCCACATGTATGTCTACTGATTGTTACTTTGCGCATTTGTCGCTCAAATATTTTCAAATATTTTCCCATTCGCTGTGTTTGTATTGCCATTATTTGATTACTGTGTGCCCACTCGCGGCCCATGGGTTAACAATTATTGTATTAATAAATATTTGAATGCGCTGCCCTCATCTGAACCCATCAGGAACGGCCATTCCACATCAGTTTCAATTAAAAACACATTTTGTGGTCACTGTGTGGTCGCCACTTGGGTTCTGTATGGGTTGGGTTCGATATTCTAGCTTGGGCTCTCCATAGTTTGCATTATTCCTAGGTGACACACCCAATACTTGCGGGGCTTCTATATGCGACCTCATGATTCCATTTCTGCTGATGTGGGCATATACTAGTGGTGGACCCTTGTGGTGGCACATCAAGCCGGATTTTAAAACCAATCGATAATGTCAATATTTTAGCTCGGCAACTTGGCTGCTGGTCTAAACTACTTATTGTCAACCAACTGGGTTAACAAGTGTTAAGGTTCTCATCGACAGTTACGACTGATCCAATTACATAATCGAGGGGGTGCTGTATATTTAAAGCACTGCAAGTTAGTTTAAAAATAAGTATTTATATTCTATTATAAACTTCATTATACTTAAGTTTCCCCTCACCAAATCCTGGGTAGTATTTAAAAATAATTAATCTGGTATCTATGAGGTGGAAACCAACACCTTGCCAACCACTTAGACACCTCAAAAAGATCTGCACAAAGAAAAGTTTTCAAACCTTGTAGCAACTGCTATCTACAATATCTGCTCTATTCAACTCCTAAAAATACATACAATAGAAGGAAGAATAACTTATCCCTGGCATCCGAAAAACCCGAATGAAAAAACCACCGCAGATCTTAAGCCTTTGCACAAACAAAGCGGCTGAGCAACTAACCGATTATGTATAAAATATTTATGAAATAGACCCGTCCTAGAACTAAGCCGATGGGTTTGAATCATTAGAGCGGAGAAGGAGCACCCAGGAGCAGTCTAAATGGACAAAAAGTGTAACAAACGGCACACGCATCCTGGGTTCTATAAAACCATATCCTATGTACCAGAATCCGGAATCCCGAGTCCCGAAGATGCATGCTGGGTAATCAGGCCTCGGCATCTGCGGGTTGAGCCTTTCTCTATATAAGTATTATGTTCCGAGGACCGAGGTCTGAGGACCCACAAGGTTGCTCTTTCGACATCGTAATCCCTGCACTTAACCCGGGTAATAAGATAAGTAAGGCAGATCCGAGGTTTCGCTTTGCTTCTGCTTGTTATCTTTGTAAATTGCATGTCGAGCACTTAAGCCAATAGAAAGGAGACTTGGCCAAGACATTCCCTTTCCCCGAGCGCGTGCTACTCACCACTATTCTATGCCAATTCTATTCTAAAGTGATATATAGTTTAAGAAACCCCGATGCCCGAAGGACCCTCGGACTGATTTAGCGACTTAGAGCTTAGAGCTACATAGTCCGGGCTTAGGTAAGTGGATTTCTGAATTCAATCCGAATCCAGGGCACATGAGATGTGTTAAGTATATAATGCGCTCATCCGATCTATTTCAATAACAAACCAGATCCAGACCAACTTAAGCCGGGCAGGGCAGCCCAATAAAACAATGCCCCTAGTAAATTGTTCTATTCGCCTGATCTGCGGATTGAGCACAACAGTTCGGCTTGAAAGATATATGGGCAGGCATATATGTATAGCAAAATATATGAATCGAGGGCTTAAGGCGTGGGCCAAAACCGATTTAACTCTTGCACTGACATAAGCTGAACATAAACCCCAAATATGTACATACACGATATGGAATCGGAGATGGTTTTCTGTTTTAAAGTTTTATCTTCAGAAGATGCTGAAATGAGCAAGGAATGTGTATTGATATTTAATAAACAATGCAAGGGATTAGAGCAGAAATTATTTAAGCCTTACTATAACAATCTCAGTTGTACTTAATGCAAGCCAAGATTAATAGTCACCTAAAACAGCTGATTAAAACTACAAACGAGAGAAATACATTTATTTAAACTTGGGTATTATCCAAGTATTGCAGCCATAGGTACCTTTTATATATCCATAAAATGTAATCCTCTTCTTAACAATACAAAGCTTACATTCAAATATTATCTACATTTTCTGACTACATACATCAAGATTATTACCTAACCGATTAATCCTCAACAAACTATTGCACAACTTTTAGCCCAACCGATCCCCCACCCTTCTCATCCGTTTAGGCTCCCCCTTTCCCAACTGACACCTTATAAAACTGCCAGCTAATCGTTTCAATAACATGATTTACCAACACACACTCAATAAGTTACAATTATTGAATCGAAGAAAAATGGGCACACAAAATATGATAATTGCTACCGATCGTCTCTCGCCTTAGATATAAAGGGGAGATATCTATGGGGAGTGGGGAGATTAATCTAGTAACGATGATATTAATTATCATTTCGTTTACAAATCGCCTTTGAAAGAGCGAGAGAGAAAAGGGTGAAAAGCGCTGTATTTATGATATCGCCGAGGCTTGTTACTCGAATTTTTCCCTGTCAATGTCGATTCGTAGGGAAATGGAGGGGAAAACTTGTTGATGCTGATGATGCTCCCTTTTTCTCACATCTTTTACTCCAACGCGCACTTAAGCCTCGCACACAAACACATGTCAAGTGATCAAAGAATCAGAAGCCGCCGCACCCAGTGAAATTTTCGAAAATGAAGACGTCCACTGAGAACCCGAAAATACACACAGTTTGAGAAATTTCAAAAACAACGCCCTAGTCGGTGCCCTTTCTACTATTTCTTTCCACAATTTCTTTAACGTTCTCATCTTTCAAATTGAGGCCTAGGCAAGTCCCGAGCTTACACTGCGATAAATTAGGTATCAGTTCAATTACAATAATGACTTTATTTTTAAGATCCTAAAAATCCGATATCTGAAGATGAAGATATGAATATGTTCTCAAAAATTTTATTTTAATTTACTAGTAACTGTAATATTCAGAAGTTCTCATATATAAATATTTAAAAAACAAACAACCCATACTCGCGAATTCTTAAGATCCCTTAACCGCCTTTTCCAAGGTTACCATTTTATGTCCTAGCTTAGGACTTTTGATTTTTTCGATATGTATTTGAATTTCTTAGTATTTCTCCGAGTGTAGCGCACATATTAGTTGAAAAATTGTATAACAAAAGTTAAGAAAAATTGCCTGCGACTGGGCGGAGGGACAGGGGAGCAAAGTGTGCTCGCTGGACGGAGAGATCTAGACAAAGGCCTGGCTGGGGTCCAGGGGTATGGAATGGCTATGGGATATCATATCGGATCGGATCGTACCTGCGGTGCCCAGCACATCTCGCACAGCTGGAGTTGTCACTGTGCATGTAAAGAGCCAAACAGAATCGAGTCAATGGGTGATGGCTCATTTTGGACCTCATCCTCTCGCATTTTTCTGCCTTTTTCGGGAATCATTTTCATGTTTGCCGCTCCAGCTAGCAAACAACTAATTAAGTCATCAGGATGAAAGCAAGTCGGTAAAGGAAGCTGGGTAAATATTTACGGGATGTGACTGTGAGCTGGACAGCAGCTGACGGTCAATACAAAAAGAAGCTGCTGGGTTTTTAGAGAGAATAGAAATCTTAAATGGAAATTCGTAATTGCACATGGGAGAAAAAATTACAATATTTATATATTTATATTTCCTACTATAAAAATTTTGGCATATTCAAGTTTGATTTATAGAAACCACAAGTCTTGAAGAAACAAACTCTGAAAAGGTTGAAGAAATAAGAAGCCATCTTAAAAATTTGTGTTTTAAAATATATTTTTTATTTAATTTTTTTTTTAGTTTTTTGTTGTTCGTTTTTAAATAAATATGTACAAAAATTAGTAGGCAAGCTACAAGGGCCCTCGGCTGGCGAAGAATTGGCCTCGTTTGAGGATCGGCTGTCCTGTAGATTTCAGAGCTGGTTCCTTGCTATAACCATCGACTTTCCAGGTCGATTCGGAGGACCCGCTGAAGAAGCGAAGCGGTCAGTGGGGAAATGACCAAAAGAATTTGCTAAACTGAAGCATTTAGACGTCAAGGGTGTTTCGCGGGGGGATAAAGTAGGGTGAGTCCTACTAGTCCTAGTTCCTCCCCCAAGCGACCCTAGTCCCTGGGTATTTTTTGTTGATCCAAAGCGCTGGGCTTGGTTTTGCGCCGGCTCCCGGCGAATTTAGCTGGACGGGAACTTGCCAAAGAACTGCATGCGCTGGAACAGCTCGGCGTTTAGCTGGGGCGGATAGCCCTGCATCTGGGCGGGATGGGGCGACTGGTGGTGATGATGGGGGGCCTGGGGAGCCTGCTGGTACTGCATCTGCTGGTAGGCAGCCTGATAGGCGGCGGGATTCATGCGCTGGTACAGGGCGGCGGCGGCGGCAGCGGCAAAGGGAACTGCGGCAGGATATCCATAGCCAGGAGCAGGGGTTCCATAGGGAGAACCACCCATCATGGGCGAGAATATGGCCTGACGATAGGCGGCCAGACGAGTGCGACTCGCTCCGGGATTCTTCCTCCTCAACTTGCCGGTGGTCTCGCCAATGAAAACCTCCTCGGCCGAGGGGTCCAAGATCCAGTAGTTGCCCTTGCCGGGATCATCGTAGCTCCGGGGAATCTTCGTGAAACACTTGTTTAGGCTCAAGTTGTGACGAATGGAGTTCTGCCAGCCCCGCTTGTTGGCCTTGAAGTAGGGGAATCTATTGATCAGGTACTGATAGATCCCGTTCAAAGTCAGCCGCTGTTCGGGGCTATCCTGGATGGCCATCATGATGAGGGCATTGTAGCTGTACGGCGGCTTCTTGGTGTCGCTGCCGGAGCTGATCTTCTGCTTCTTGCTGGGGTTCCCATCCTCGCTCTCCTGGTCCTCGTCGAGCTGGTCCTCCAGCTCATCATCGAACTCCACATCGAGTTTGTCGTTGTTCTGAGATGACAGACTTTCGGCGGCACTGCTCATGGGAGTGCTGGTTCGGCTGGGGCTATCGAAATCCTCCGAGGCCGAGAGTTCGCCATCGGAATTGGAGTACGGATGGACATACTGATGGTGGTGATGATGGTGCACCGGCTCGGTTTTGATGGGTTGGGTTGCGGGAATGTTGGTGGGTTTCTTGGCCAAGATGGCATCGATGGAGAAGTTGCTCTTGAATTCCATTTCACTTTTCACCATTGTTTCTTGTTTCGAAGTAATGCTATTATATCTTTGGTTTCTGATGATCACACACGACTTTTGGGATCGCTTGAGATGTTTGCGCTTGAGATGGTAGCTCTGAACTGATTCTCTACAGCCCCGGGTCGGGCTATTTATAGTCCACCCCCGTTCGCTCGAACGAAGTCTACACGAAGAGAGCCCACAAGGCGAAAGAGACGGGTAGCCTGGCATGCGCTGTGAGTGCGAGAGAGAGGGCTAGCAGGTAGTTGGGTAGTTAAACCCTCTTTGAAAGACTCCGCCCTCCATTTTGTGACCATTTTGTTCCACTCGCCTTCCACATGGAAATATTGTATATACGTGGATGTTGGCAAAGCGGACTTTGTTTGGGAACTTGTGGATGTTTATTTTCGGTCTTTTGCTGCTTCGGCGTCAAAATATCCATTACATCCAATCCAAACAGGGTCGGTCTTTGGGGTTGTTCTCAGTGCGTCTCGTTCCCGCTCGCTGTTTTGACTATTAATTGCTCTAACAAGCGGCAATAAAAACAAAAACACAAAGTGCAAGGAGTCGCAATTTAATCAGGATGTTTATAAATCCATAATGATTTTTGATTGCGAACCAAGATTGCTCGAAAAAGTGGGCCATTTCTAATCACTTCAATGAAAATGGCAATTATTATTGACTTAATGTTTCTGAGCAGCCAAGGATTGCGCTTGTTTTGACCTACTTTGAGGAATAATATTCTTAGGGGAATTATACTCATGTTTATAATAATAATAATAAACCTTTTCGATGGGATTTTTATTTTTAATTTTAGCTTAAGTAACAGAATTGCTTAAAGAATTTTTAGAAGTACGGTTTCACAATATAAATGTATTTATTTCTAGCAAAATCAATAAACAATACAAAACTAGTGTGAGACACCTAAGTCTTACTTAATTTAAAATTATTCAAACAGAGTTTTGTCCGACAAACGATCCTGGAATATTGGATTGAACATTTGATCCACTTATAATTTGACAATGGATTCTGCGAATTAGTTTGCTGGCAATCTGCGAGACAGACTCCTTGAGTTGCTCCTAATCCCGCCCAAACTAGTGCAAGGGTCGCTTTTCGTGGACCGGGGATTATCTGAAGCAGATCAGGGATCTTGGCTTACGGCACGATTTTCAACAGCTCAATGGAGCTCAGGACGAAGGATTCCGAGCCCAGCACTCAGGTAATCCGAAGGGGTTAACCCTTCGGGCAGCGGGATTTGTTCTAGTTTCGCGACAGATTTGCGAATTAGTTCTGGGCTCGCTTAGCCAGAATCATTGTGGATCTCTGGCAATCCTTTTGGAGATTAATAGATTTGAAAATGCATTCGCTCAAATATTTGAGCTCAGTATTAGCTTGCAGTGGAGTTTAAAGTTGGTTGGTGCAAAGTTAAGTTGTGTTTACGCGATTTGTTAGGGAGTTAAAGGAGTATCTGAAGCTTATAGAAATAAGTAAAGTTATCAGTTTCTCGAGGTAAGGAATGGATAAACAATATATATTACACGAAATTTATACTTCTAAAAATAAGTCATAAGAATAAAGGTTTTATAAAGGAACTATATAATAGCGGCTCTTCACGGATTAGAATAGAGTTATAAGATTCTTTAGATTCTTTTTGAGAACTTAGTAATATTTAGATCTTTGCATCATTGAAAACTGAACGAAGGGCCTGACATATGCAACTCATATGGGAAAACATCCTTTAGGATCAAACAAAGTGTCGCCGACATTACTTAGTATAAGGCTACCGAAATGGTCTTAAAGTCAGGGGGTTTTCGATTGCGATTGGGTTGGCAATGGACCGAAACTGGACCCCGACTACAAAAACAAGGAAGTACAAGTGGTTTTTGTTTTATGTTTTTATGGCATGTTTTGCTAGAACAATTGAACAAATATACAGGCAGATAAATCGGGCGAAAGTCAAGTAGACACAATGAAGACGTCAGCGCTGTGGGTTATTACAGATGGATGGATGGATGGACGGAGGTATGGCTATATGGATGGGGGCGAATACTTGTCGGCGGCACTGCGCGTTTGATATCTTAGACAACTTGACAAAACAATCAAAGCAGCAACAACACATGTTCCAAATGACTGTCTATTAATTTGCTCCCTTCTCATATTTTATTTTTTGCCCAAAACCAAAAAAATAAGTGAACAAAACAATGGTAGAGTAGGGGCAAAATAGTAGGCAGCGCACTTTTAACGCAGTAGTCCAATTGCCGATGATAATGATGCACTCAGAGAAGTCGGCAAAGTTAAAAGTGCCCGAAAGAGACGGGACTATGCGATCCGAAAGAGAAAGGTATATGGCTGTGGAAAAAAGTAGGCGGTTAACAATTGTCGAGGCGGCAGGTTCAGTTACTATTCTTTCTTCTGCAGAGCGTTTCTTTCTTTTTTAAGCGAGGGATAAATGAAGATTTGAACGCCTCGATTTTCTTTGCGGCTTCCCTTTTTCTCTCTTTTTTTCTTTTTTGCCTGAGCCACTAATTGAGTTGAAAATTTGTGTAGTTTTTTTTGCAAGTCGAAGCTGGAGATGAAAGGAATTTCGCCGACTTTGACTCCGACTTTTCCCTGGTGGGGGCATCATTTTGACAGCCGCGACAAAACTAATTGATTTGTGAATTCCCTAAGCCATCCAGAAAATCCACAGATCCTGGACACACACATTGCGGAAATTTAAACACTCCATGCAGTAATGGGTAATTCGATTATCAGATGCAAGGTGAAGATTGTATTTGTAAGGTTAACAAAAATTCTAGTAGATATATTTGTTTTGTATATATTATAAAATTTCCCTTTATGCAATGAACGTCTTTGGAAATAATAATAATAATTTATTAACAGGCTTTGTGAAAAAATATTTACGACATTTTTCGACCTCGTTTTATAACTTACTATTTTTTATGTCTTTGTGTGAAAAAGGAACCTTTTCGATGACTTTTCGTTTGACTTTAAGGTTTCTCCTTCGAGAAGATAATGCGGTAAAACGAATTGATTAGCGATTTGTGATCCTTGAGCGCACACCTTGAGTAAAATCGAGCGTGGAGCAGACCGAGAGCATGTGGTCGCTGATTGGGTGATCAGGATGCGATCAGGACCACGCTGTTTGACATTATGGTTTCATTGCCAAAACCACACTTAGGCGTTTCCTTTACGAGCTTCACGCTTCGAAAGAGCGCTACGCCTGCCTCATTAGCCCACAAAAACTGAGGAAAACTAAGGAAAACTATTGAAAACTAAGGGAATCTTTAGAGAACTATGGGCAATGCATAAGCGAATTCCAAGTAGACACCGTGGCCACAGACAATGTGCATGTAATTTTCAATTAACGCCACAAGATTTCCCTCCTTCAGAACTTTCGCCCACGATTTCGTTCCACTGTGGGTGAGCATTGAGTCTCATAATTGATCGTAATGTGCGATATTCCTTTTGAGGGACCTCAGTTGTCAACAGGACTCGCTGCTATCCCATCCGATCCGATCCCATCCTCGGAGACTGTCACATGGCAGGACCTCGGGACATCAGCAGGATGTCTTCGGCATTTGTCGCGCTCAGCGAGTCGTCTTTTCGCCCTCGCACTTTGCCTTTCAGTCATTCTGTCCTGTCGACAGGATATTCTGCATGTTCGGGATTTTATGGTCCTAACAATGGCCATGATCGATCTATCGTTGCACACCCAAAAAAAAAATGCATTGCCTTTTTTATGCGTCCGAAACGCTGAGTTCTGTCACTAATCAGGTCCTTTCACTCGGGTATTTCTGCATAAGTCCCCGTTTATTGATAAGTCCGGTGTCAATCCCAGATTTTGAATGAATCCCGCTACTTGGCTTAGGTACAAGACCGGACTTAAGTTTATATTGCCTTTATGATCTGGTTTCGCTCTTAGGGCTGCCAAATCTGGTAGGTAGTGGGGGAAATAGAGGAGTTTATTGGCAGCCAGGTAAGTATTTTTATTTAACACCTCCTTGTAAAAGAACCATAAATTCCTATTATTTTCAAACACAAGAACCTAGTGTAAATTAATTGAGAACAGTACACAGTGAACTGTAAGCAAGGGGTTAAAAAACTTGCAAATTTAAACACACAATAAACTAATGCAAGACATTTTTTTTACAGGAAATATTTTATATAATCATTCATTTGTTAATACATTTTTTAAGTGTTCATTTTGTTTTAAGTAAAACTAGATCAGTGAACAAAGTGAATAGATATTTCAGATATTTCAGAAATATAAAACAATTGTAGGTAACCCCACTAAATTCAGTGCACATCTAAAAAGTTCTTATTCCCCTTAAAGACCTCATCATAAATACAGTTGTCAAAATTAATATTTCTAGCGATTACCCTCAAGAGCCACCACCTCCCATTTTCTCCTCTTTGAAGGCGGCTAAAATTTGTTTTATTTTCCAGCCATATGTGTGTCCAAGTTCCACTTAAGTAGAGTCGCCTCCCCCATATGGAAACAGCTGGAGATCGTAACCAACCTTCTTTGACAACTTTATAGCCTAACGAGCTGAAAGGATCTCCAAGCGTACAGTCAACACCCACTATAATTGATCAGTTCCACATCGGTTCATTGTACATAAAAAAAATATTTCGCATCCTTCGGGGGCGACTGCGACTTATTGATTAAGTTGTCCATGCGGTTGGGATTGGAATGGCCAGACAGGATGCATAAAAACCTGGAAGGATCCCTCGCCCGATAGCGTTGATCGAATTATAAAGGGCAACTGGTTGCCATCCACCATTTCCCTTTTTTCCCATTGCAGCTTGCCAGCCAGAACTGAACTGATTCGTCACGCAGATTTCGATACATTAAATGCAATCATTTGACAACAGGACGAAAATATTTTCATCCATTGTGTCCTAACAACTAGGATACGACACTGTGTGTGTGTGTGCCATGGTATATACTATACATGATACATCGGTGTTCGAGAGTGAGCCTTTGCAGGTTTCCACAGCAGTGGGACTCCCCCCCAAAGCGTAGCAAATGCGTGATGAGGATGCTCTATAGAGGATACCTCAGGGGTTAGGTCCCTATACCTCTATATCTCTCCCTTTCTGGGCGTGTGAAAT